AGTGTTTTCTGTTGATATAATTAAGAGTAACTACAGGCTAAAACAATGAAAGTGACTAGTAAATGATGTTCGTTTCTCTTAATGTGGTCAACTAATATGGTGACTGGTTACAGGATTTTCATCATTTTCATCATATTCCCTACAAACCAACACTTTTATAATATGGTAACTATTATAATAGTTTTCTAGGAAAAGTAAGAACAGACAACTTCCCTTATCCATTCTATATATATGGTACACTGTGGCCCTGAGATGGAGACATACAGATTTGTATTATTCGAATAGGGGACCCTTCAAGACACTGCTTTTGTGTATCCGGCTGACAAAATTACCGAGACCCAACTATGTTTTATGAATAAATTCAATTTTAGATTTTCCTGTCGATTGATTGGACCGAAGTACTTGGTCCAGCTGACGAGTCCCAAACGGGAAGTAATACATACCCTGGATTTCACTGCTAGTCACCATCCATCAAGTGACTTTGTGTTTTATGATTCCTGGTATTTGTGTAGTTGTAAACCTATACTGACTTAGTTGACCAGTTCTTACGTTTTTATGTCTACTGCTGGTGTCTAAGTTACTGATGTTTCTTAAGGAAACGCTGTCAGCTCTACACATTTCCTTAGTCCATTGGGTCACTGGGAGTTTGGTTTGTGTGATGTAAAGCAAATTTTATGACTGAAATAAGAAGGATATCTGATAATATCGAGTGTTAGATGATATCAATATAACTAACCTTAGTTTTTGAAGTGATACGGTAGATTTAGTAACTCAAATGGATGATTTCGATGCTGTTATGTTCTCTTAGCTAGTTGTTTTAGTCGAGAGGATTTCTTGGTCTTTCAGTAGATCATCTTCAACGCCAACCTCAAGTTGTTTAATCATTTTAGCCAAAATTTTACTAGGGGACCAAAAACAGCGTAGCATTTATTTATTTTGCGACTTATTTCAGTTGGTACATGCAAAGTGTTTCAAAGATAAACTTTTTTAATTCACATTAGATTTTCACTAAGTGTAAATGGAATACACTTGCTGAAGTTAGGCAGATCCCTTAGACCTGCTTCGTCTGCAGCTTGCAAATGACATATTTATTAATGAAAGTAAATAATCACTTCCCCAGACATCGACAAAACTTCCCATTCTTCCTTATTATTCACTCATTATTCTTCCCCGGAATTCTCGAAGAAGACTACGTTGTATTTTGTAGGACTTTGAGGGCTATCAGCAGCGTTTGTGGTATACCAACTGACTGACGCTATTATTGATAGGTATTTTAATTCTTTCAATAAATTGCCCAAAGTTATTCTATCGGTTAGTGAACAACCTCTTCATTCACAACTTTCTCCTTATCTCTCTCCCGGGTAAAATCAGAGAAAATTTCATAAGAATTTGTGCTCGTACAGCTTCATGTATAAATTTAACCAAACCATATTTAGCATGCCTTTTGTGTAAGCAGACAAATGTCGGGAAAGTGTTCATAAACTCACTTTTTAATTTGGAAATAAACAGCAACCTATCACGAGCATTATTATTACATATATTCGTCTTCTTTTAAATTTAGTTTTTGATATTTTATAATATTTATTATGCTATTTATTTATTTATTTGTAAGAGAAGATAAACTGCTGCAATAAGCACAGGGCTAAAAATTCCATTCTACGTAAAAATTATTGCTTGGGATAAAGCGATTATTATTATCACCCAGCCATTTGCATAGGCAGATACAATTGTCAGTGTTTCGCGGTACCCCATTCATTTTCAACAAAGAATTGAGTGGAAAGCAGTGGAATAGTAATGCTTTATACTCGTTATTACTGTGATATATACTTAGTGCATCTCTACAGTCTGATTAGATGACACACTTACCGAGGTAGAGGTATATCGATTCAACTTGTTACATTTGTGAAACAGTACACAAGGAAGTGGATAACAGAAACAAGTATGATATTGTATTGCGTACAGTTAAATATCAATGGAGGGAGAAAAAAAAAATCAATGAAAATCACCGGAAGTGTTCACAGTCTATACAACAATGGAGTGTGAATTGACTCTATATCTTCATCCTACCATAATCAACTCTATTTCAGCTCAACCAAAAACTATCACTATAATGTGTACTGTGGATCGATTATTATTATTTCCTTTAATTCCTACAGGAACATAGGGCTTCAGCCGTGCGTCTCCATTGCGTTCTATTCTCTGCTAGAGTCTTCACCTGGCTCCAAGTCTGCCCACACGTTTTCATCTCCTTTTCACATCACTTCCTCCAAGTCACCCTTGCACTGACGACCAACTCGCCGCTTCCCTTTCGGGTTCCACTCGAGCAATGGCTTGTCTAGTGATGTCACTCACTTGATGGTTTCCTCAGAGTATGGCCAGCCAATCCATCTCCATTTCTTCCTGCCTAATTGTTACACAATCGGTTCCTGGTTGGTTCGCTCCCAGAGATCCCTATTGTTGATCTTTTCTGGCCGGCCATCTGATCTTGAGTATTGAGCGAAGACAACTGTTAATGAAGGTCTGTAGTTTGTTTGAGATGCTCTTTATGACGCGCTGGCCAAGTCTCTGATCCGTATAGTAGCACTGACTGACTTCACATTGGAGTTGAAAATCCGGACCTTATTTTTCATGCTGAGCGCTGTTGACCTCCATGCAGACTTGAGAGTAGTGAAAGCTTGTCTCGCTTTTCCGATTCTCGCTTTTATATCCTCGTCAGTTCCGCCTGTAGTTGAAACGATGCTTCCCAGGTATGCGTGTAAAAGAGGTTGTTTCTTTCAGGTTCCTCCCATTTATGCGTATCGTTGTCTGTTGTTGTTGCTGTTGATGGTGTTGCCCGGGAATCTTCATCACCTCCGTTTTCTCTATGTTCACCTGAAGACCTATCTTCTCTGGATGCTTCTTCTGCCAACTTGTTGCTTTTCGCTTGCATATCTTCCAGTTTGTGGGAAATCAGACATATATCATCGGCGAAGTCCAGATCGCCGATCGAGATGTATGGATCGATATGTATCATATATGAGAATTCACAGCATCACCAGTTGACTGACTGACGAACAACATTTCGGCTTCCGCTGGAACTGTGAAGCATCTATATTTAAATCTAATTTAGTCTTTGGTCTTGGTCTTTTAAAATTTCATCCTATATTAAGGCTTTACCTCCTTACATTCTCATATTGTTATGAAATTGCTTTCTATGTGTATGAAATAAGCATCAGATAAATCTATATTATTATTCCTTATTTTTTTTACCGATATATCTTGTGACAAGTTGTGGCAATTAAATATCACTCTAACTAAAATAAAACCATATTTAACATGAAAAAAAGGTGAAATACATGTGATCTATATTATTTCACATTTCACTGAAACAGTCTTGCAGTTCATTTTATACTATAAAAAAATGTAAGTAAGCAAATTGTCTGATCACTGTTCTTTCTTCTCAACTGATCAAAAATTTATTTAACACGTATCGGTTAACCAATATAAGCCTTAGAGATTGATTGTTATATGAAATAGAAATGTTATGCTAAACAAAGGAGAAGATGCTTTTTTGTTTTGTTTTTAGTTCAATTCTGATTTTTCATTTCATTGATTGGACCGAAATATTCCGCCTTGGTTGACATTTCAGCTCCTAGTGCAGACGCTTTAACGATATCTAAGGATTATAATCTGAAATAATTCGGTAGATGGTGACAAGCATTGGAATCTAGAATGCATGTTTCGTCTTGCCTGGGACTTTTCGTCTGGATGTACCTGTATCCCCAAGTAGGTGGTAGTGTTCCCACCGAGGTATATCCAGATGACGAGCCCCGAAAGGGACGAAATGCGCATCCTGGATTCCACTGCTGGTCACCATCCACCAAATTACTCCAAGAGGAGAAGATGGTTCATCAAAAAGGTTGATCTGCTAAAAGCCAACATTTCTAGGGCAGGACAATAACTTCAATAGTTGGATACCTCTAGGGAGAAAAGGAAACCTTACTTTCCAGAATTCTGAAAGTCCAGTCTAAAGATACTGTTGAAAAAGGACTGTAAAACTTTCGTCCAACACTGTTAAATAATAGATATTGTAGAAGGTACTCTGAGAGGAATATGGAGTAATAAATCACTCCTGGTCATATCATAGACACAGTTAGACATTCAAAAGTGACTCTGTTACTGAAGTAATTTAAAGTCATCCATCCAAGTGTACATTGAACGCTCTTTTTATGCCACTGACTTATACTGGATATTCTTCACCAGAAGACTGATTCGAAAATGCGTGTAGGATAAACTACCATCTATGTCCACCCCTATGCGCTTCTACTATTTCATATACTGCTTTGAAACTGATTACATTGGATGTTGTAAGCGTGTTCCTCGGAAACATGAGGCGGAACGCTATCTGTATTTAGCTGGTGAGGAGCAAGCATAGAATGACGAGGTCTTCCATCTGCGAACACCTACTTGAGTCAGGTCATTCAGCTCCACACGACTTATCCTTTAAAATCACCCATCTGATGTTGGTCTTTGTTAAAAACTACTTTCACACTCAGTGACGATGACTGATTCTTAGACTCCTTATGGATCAAAATCTGATGTCTTCTGATCCACTTTTGTTTGCTAATGAATACTGCTTAAATACATTCAAGAGAAGTCCTTAACTCCTTCATTTCTATTTTTTTGTTTACTTTACAGGATATAGACTTGTTTCATTGATTGAGCAAGGACTATTCAAAAATTATTCAAAAGTCAAAGCTTAACCTACAACTAGTCGCATTAGATGGGATATCTTACTTCACCTACCTCTTATATCCTGGTCCCCTTACGTCGGATTTCTGTTGGCAATAGTCCTGAAGTGGATCAAAGGTATTTCACACCAGCTGGATAAACAGTGAAATCTTGAGGAGACTCAAAAGTGCCTTTCAGTGGGAGATTATTGTGAGCAGAAAACTAACACCACATTCTCTTAGCAATAAGTTTGTGGACTGGTATATGATTTAATGTGCAGTTAGTTAGCCATGGGTCGAAAGAAGCATGCAGTTGGAAGTGTATTCCGTAATAAATCTGATAAATCATCTAGATCCTCAGGTACTTCATCTTCCTCTTCTTCTTCATCATCTTCAAAATCCAGCATTAAACCTGTAAGTTCTTCACGAGATGAATTATTTTCTTTTAAAGTTAGTTAATGAATAATAAAGTTGCCGGTTTAATATGATGAACTGTATGCCAGTCTCTTTGTTTATAGAAATGTCTACCAAATGTTTTTCTTCATTGCTTCTCATTCTCAGTTGAACATAGGGCTTCAGGCTTGAGGTCTGAAGTTTTAGTAGTAGTGGTGGCTTTTCTTCAGAGGTGGAGTTATTGCCCTCACTCCTTACCTTTAGGTTTATGAGTGCTCCGGCTGGGAATCGAACCCGTGTCACATGCGTGGTTGGAGAAAATCCTACCAAACCAATATATAAATAAATTAGCGTATAAATAACATGCGATACTATACTCAGTTTATCTCTATGGATATTTTTGGGAGTTTGTCGTATGCCACACCTTCTTTCTTTGTTATCTCTACCATCGGAGATTTTGTTCACCGGCTTAAGCACTCGACTTTCAGCAAATGGTTCCTGTGCACCTATTTTAGCCTAGGCAACTGGCTAGTATCATCAGCCCTCACACAGTATCTGTGGCTCATAGCCTGGAACATGATAGAGTTGTCCAAAGGCTTGAGTTAAAACGACAGTCGTTGATATTTAAACACCTCTAAATGCTTGTATATGTCAGTTAATATATTACATCGACAAGTACGGTACTCTGAATCTTCATCCTTGTGGATATTTGCCACCTGCACCTAGGAGAAATTAGTAAACTAATACTCCAACTCTGTTTACCTAACGGTTGAGACATCTTGTAGGCATTTGTTGCCGAAGGGAATCGTTGAGTAAAGTGAATTAACTACTACTCTAAAGATAGGCAAATATTTCAAATGAACTGTCGTCAAGATTTGACAGAATAGTTCTAAAATATTTGGGCGCCGAGTGAGAAGTAGACATTTGTAAAAAATTATATTTGTAAAATCTCAGCGATATTGAAATGAGTAATTCCAACGTTTCGTTCGGCAATCTGGTCCGAACTTCTTCAGGGAAATTAATCGAAATTAACATAACAGAGGTTTATATATAAAAAGGAACATCACTTGTTTTTAAAAATTTGTCCAATCATGAGTCATTCAAAAAGTATCAACAAGTATAATAAACAAAATTTTATGAGCTGTGATCAAAATTTGACCTCGGACTTACAAATATTGGTCTACCTTTGTTAAACACTTTAAACAGAGTGTGTATGTGTGTGTGGGCAAATATGTTTCCTGTCCTAAGATGCATAACACAAATAATTTTTAAACGTCTAACCCACAGAGTTGTATTATTCCTTCTGGCCACTTCACGAGTTTCAAACGATGATTAGCCTTCAGAAAGCATCAGTTTTCATTTATATTCAGATAAATGCTGTAATAATATGCTATCAATAACTGGATGACGTTTCGAGCATAAATTATTGCTCGTAATCATATCAGTTTATTTACACGACTTCACAATTTGTCTTATATATTTATATTTTTACTGTCTTTCTCCCTCTCCATCTTCTCCTTGTATTTTCTTACCTCTTTCCATATCTTCGGTATACGCGTTGAGTCATTTCGATTGCACGTGTGTAATGTTGAAACGATAAACAGGGATTTTGGTGACTGACCTCTCTCTCCGCCTAACTACTACTTTTTAATACTTTTATCCTTGAGAGGTGCAACACTGTGTGACATTTGAAATAAACCTATCTAATATGCAATGACATTCTGCCACAGTGTCCAAGCTCTACATTTACATAAATACTATTATAAATGGTCAAAGATATCAAGGATATTGTTTTCTGAATGCTAATACTGCATTCTTCTAATTTCTTACTGTTCTGCCTTCTTGATTTTTAGCCTTTCCTTCATAAACAGTTTATCAGCGAAAGATGAGGAGTAATATATGGATATATATATATATAATCAGTAATAAAACTATTTAATTTACTCTAAGAGAGAATAATTTATGCTCATGGCATCAGTGTCTGTTGCACAGAGCCACTTCACAGTTACCAGATACAAATGTTTATATAATCCAGTATTACTTCAGAACATGAAATCCCTCCCCATTTGATGTAGTTAAGAACACATTAGTTAGTAAAGAGACTTCTTTTCGTGATTTCACATCAAAGCTATACAGTTATTCAGAGGTGGCACAGTGGTTAGGACTCTCGCCGACCATGCACGTGGTCCGGGGTTCGATCCCCTGCCGACGCACACCCGATATCTATGGTTGGCCTGCAAAATTTGGGCTACCGATATCCATGCTGAAAATTCCATGCTTGCACTGAAAATACGGTATGGCATCAAGCTGTAATAAAAATATAAAAATATATATATATACGATGTTAAGTAACGGTGGAAGGTCAGAGGTTATTGTCAGTTACAACAATGTATGAAGAGAACGGCTACTATTCTTACGTAATCGAGAAAGTTGACAAATAATTAGATAAGCGATGAATAATCATTTGAAAATAATTGTTAAGAAACAAGAGAACAAAGAAGTGAAAATGTGGATTACACGACTGAATAGTAAACTCTCTGAAGTCATTTAATTAATTTTTGTTTTCCCGTTTCACCACGAACTGACATCTGTTAGAGAACCACCGAAAAACAACGGGCAGCACTGGACAGCTATTTTGTCCTAGTTTTGGATTCATAGGCAGTACGCACCCTCAGGATTTCGAACCCAGGACTTTGCATTGGAAACCCAAGCTCGTAGACCATAAACTACGAACAAACTCTTGAAAATTATTCTAATTCTAGCTAGTGACTGGCTGCAGGACGAAGTTGACTGGAATTCTAGTGAGTAGTTGTGACCAGTGGGATCCAACCGGTTGGGAGTAGGGACAAATACTCGACGACGACATTGGCCAGTGGTCGCTCTAAAATCACAAATTGGTACCACTGGGTAGGTTCTCAGTGTCTGAATGGTCTGCAAGCTTGCCTTGCAGCTGGAAGGTCCTGGGTTCGAAACCCAGTGGATGCAAACTGATGACGAGTCCCAGACTAGGATGAAATAGCTGTCCAGTATTCCCTGTTGGTTTTCAATGGTTCTCTAACAATGCCAGTCCACGATGAAAATTGAAGTAAAAAATTAATCAAAGGATTATAAAAAAATGTTAGCTATTCAGTCGTGTAAACCATTTTCACTTCTTTGTTTTCTTGTTTCTTAACAATTATTTTCAAATGGTTACTCATCACTTAACTAATTATTTATCAACTTTCTCAATTACGTAAAGCCATTCACTATTTTTCACACATTTTGTTATTTATCATACATTTTGATTTGTCTTTCTTACTCAACGACAATAACCTCTGACCTTTTACTATCACTTAACATTGTAGATATAAACTGGTTAAATAACTGTGCAGCTTTAAAATGAATCTACGGAAAGAGCATTCTTTGTTGACTTAAGAGTTGTCAATCCAGTATTATATTAAACTTAAGTGATCATTAGCACACAACTAATTCACTAAACTATTAGACCTTTTTGTATTGGTCGTCTTAAACTGAGACACTACTGAAGAGTCCCAAACAAAAAAACGAAACAGCTATGTCCAGTATCCCTTGATTTTTTAATAATTGTCTAATTGATGTCGGTCGATGGTGAATTCTACAATCAAAAACTGTTGATTTTTTGAAGAAGCATTTAGAGAAGGATGCTAGACAAACTTAAAGGTAATTGGTTGAAGCAGTCGTTGTTTCGCATCTGTCAAACTCAGTTATCAAACTTAAGTAATATTATTATTATTACTAATGTAATGTATTTGATTATTTAAAGCGCAAAAGTGGTGAAATACGGATGCTAAGATATGCTCCATATAAAATGACATGGCTATTAAAAGTAGAAGTTATGAAAAAGCTAACTGACTCTAACCACACTTCTTTGTATGCTGCCGAGGGACGTGTGTACTGCTCAGCAGTTCGCTCCGTCCTTCTCTATGGCTCTGATACATGGCCAATACGAGTTGAAGACAAGAAAAGGTTGACTGTTTTTGATCATAGATGTCTACGATCTCTTTCTCACGTTAGGAACAACTATAGGAGGCTATATGCCAGGACTACCAAGTACAAAAACTCCACAATACCTTATCTGGCACAGCTGTTATGTGATGAGAAAACTGTTAGGTATGACACGATCAACTTACTGCGTCACTCTAACAAATAGTTCCCATTAGCTTTTGTTCTCCTTTCTTTGTTACTATTATATTGTTGCTCACATATTCTATTACACACTAATTTTATATTTCATATCCTGTGGTGCATTGTTTAAATATGTGAATGCAATGCTGTTCTTTTTTTATTTGTTTCGTTTCTCTTTTTTTCTTTTGTTGTTGTTGCTTTTATTTTTAAAATCTTATAAAAATTTATGAGGTAATTAGATGCAATATTGTAATGCACGCTGGAAATTCCATACCTGTACCACAAATACTGTTTGGAATAAAGCTATTATTATCATTATTATTATTGTTAGGTGGCATAATAAGGTAAGTAATGATGACGTTAGGCGTAGAGTGTTGGGCAAAGAGGGAAAATCAATCGAAGAGGCTATAAAGTTACATAGATTGAGATGGCTAGGTCACGTGCTGCGCATGCCTAACCATCGCCTCCCCCGACGGGCATTACTAGCTGATATAGGTAGGTGCAGGTTGGAAAAGAGTAAGTGGTGGCCAAACAAAAACATGGCATCAATCCATGAAATCCTTGACAGTTAAACTGAGTCAGGTAGGGAGATGCAGACTTCCGGGTTGGGGCCCTCGGGACTCTAAGAATCAATGGCTGGAGACAATAGGTGACATGGCTCAAAATCGTTGTCAATGGCTTACGCAGATGTATTCAGTCTCTGTAATCTTTCATATTCCTTTCTACCATTACTCATTCTGTTTCACTCTTATACTTGTCAAAACTCTATTGATTCTCTTCACCCATTTTCTTGTCTACCTTTGTGTGCTATTTGGAACGTGGCAACTTGAACTGCTGCACTTCAGTGCCAAGTTCTATGTTGAATCCAGTCAGCCAGC